ATTCTCTTGGTTGGTGACTTCAATATTCATACCATAGAAACCCCAGCCTGTATCAACGAACACTTCAAAATGGAATTACCGGAGATAATTAGTGGACTACCACTCTACAATCACATCACATCTCCCACAAGATTCAGGACGGGAAACAAACCGGGTGTCCTGGATCTCGTATTCACCAACGAAGAGCTTATTTATTATTGAAACCGTATCGATAGAGAGTCCTTTAGGTCGTAGCGACCATGCAACGCTCATGTTCAATTATATCTATTATGCAGAGTATTCCTCAGAAAACACAGAGGAGTGTCAGCTCATTACAAATTACGGCGCTCTAATCAAACTTATAAATGCCACAAACTGGGCATTTCTAGCAGAACGATCCCCGATGTCGCCTGGTCTGCTTTTGCTCACAAATTCAACACGTTAGTAAATAGTGCTTCTAGGAAAGGGTCTTCGCGAGCGAAGACAGTAAAATCATTCATACGCAGCAGGACACGGAAGTGTATTGTCAAGAGAAATTTACTCTGGCGAAACATGGGAAGCCTACACAATCCAAAGAAATCACTGAGTAAACCTGGTACGCGAAGATGAGGTACAGCACCAACAGAACCTAGTTGAGAAATTCCTTTTAAACCCCAAGCTCTTGTACAGACACGTTAAAAACCTCAAAGTGCAGCGAGAAAACCCTGCCTTACCCAGGTTATTTAGACTCGCACAAACCGCAACCGAGGCGACCAACACCCTATGTCAACAACTCGTCCCGAACGTCCAGAGCACGACATCGCCGCATGCACTGTTACCGCACGTTGTACCACCACCAGGACTTATCCACATCACGTTCACTACTGCGAATGTTATGGAAAGGCTAATTTCCCTGCACGGGATACTCTCAGCGTTGATAATATTCGTTCAAAGGCGTTGAAATTGGCTACAGTAAACCTGGCGGACACACTCTGCCTCAATGTGGAAGCAGGGAATCGTCACTCCCATCCATAAGGGGGGAAATCCTACAGATCCGGCCAACTATCGCCCGATAACACTACTTCCGGTGCTCTCCAAAATCATGCAAGCGAATGCTGCCGAAGCGTTTGTGAACTACTTGGAAGAACGCAATATCAAGGCACAAGAACAAAATGGATTTCGCAAAAACCGATCTTGCACTTCAAACTTGCCACTTGCTAGATCCAGTTGGACCGAGACCGTCGACAGCGTCGTGGGTGTTGATGCAGTATATCCGGACTTCTCAAAGGCCTTTGACCGTCTGAACCACCGTATCCTCATTCACAAGCTGCAGTGTTGTGGAATTGGTGACCCAATCCTCGATTGGATAGGTAACTTCTTGCTTCTACCACATCTGAATGTAAGCATTCGCGGCGTCATCTCTGACCCAATCGACGTTAAGTGCGGAGTGCCTCAGGGTTCAGTATTTGGTCCACGACTATTCCTGATTTACATAAACGATCTCGCGACAGTAATCACCTCCAAATCCTTACTCTTCGCTGATGATCTCAACATATGGCGATCCATTAGAACAACCAGCGACAATGCAGCACTTCAGGATGATCTTGACAAGGTCTACGAATGGTCGACTCGGAACCTGCTTCAGTTCAACGCTACGAAGTGCACGATGTTGAGCATACGCTATAAAGCCACTTGCGAATACAGACTGGGGGATCAAATATTGCAGCGCAGTTCAACGGAATGCAATCTAGACCTGATAGTACAGGAAGATCTGGGCTGTTCCCGTCAGGTCGAGAAAGCCTCCAAAAAAGCTAATCAACACTTTGGCCTTTTACAGAGGGCATTCGGGCGCTTCGATCCTTCCATCTTTTCCCAGATGCTGAACGCCTACATTCGGCCTCATTCTGAGTACGTCATCCACGCCTGGCAGCCATGGCAAAAGCAAGACCTTACCGCTCTTGAACTGCCACAACGAAGGGCGACCAAGAAGGTAAAGGGCCTGTGTCATCTCCCTTACCGATTGAGGCTGAAAACCCTCGGGGTCTACAGTGAACAATATCGACGCCTGCGTGGCGATTTGATAATGGCTTATATGATCTTGGGGAATCCAAATCATTCTTGTCGTCACCTACTAAAGCTGAATCGCAATATCACACTCAGAGGACACCAGCTAAAGCGGGCCACACAATACAGTCGGTTGGAATGTCGCCAGAATTTATTTTCCCTTCGTGTGTGCCAACACTGGAACGCTCTTCCCACATACGTTGTTTCTTCACCCACGCTAACGGTATTCAAAAGACGTCTGGATGATTCACTTATCCACTTACATTACACTATATAATCAGTGAAGTTTACGTCAGCCAAACGCGAACAAACGGTGCTCATTCTCAGCTTTTGTGCTTTATGAATTACACGCTGCTGCTGTGGAATATCTTTCGGATATACTACAACTGCATTCATCAATCACATCACTTCAAGAAAGCGGCGCACGAGTAAGCGTTGTCGTTTCTTTTATTCTTAAGACACACCTTCCCCATATCACTTCCACATATTACTCTACAGTGACAATTCAATACGCATTCTAAACTATTTAAATGAAGAAGGGCATCTGAATCGCTAGACGCTTAAATTGACGATTTACGCTTATGTTTGCTTTTACTTCAACCATCCTAGGGGACTTGTAAATCAATTGCTTTTTTACCTGTAATATATCATTGTTCATCATCTCTGGTAACTCATTTGGCTCAATACATCGATGTTGGTTACAGGTTTGTATAGGAAGATCCTCAATTCTTTAAGATCTACATAAGGGAAGTTAGGATATGGTCCCTGCTTTGTTTATCTGCAGAGGTGACGCTTTAGGTCTTATGTAATTTTCGCTCGTCGCTTTGAACGGGAGCTCGGTTCGTTATCTGTTCCAGTGATTGTCATCGTTTCAGTAGTCTATGTACCCTCTGTCTACCTTGTAGCAATACCTTAATTATCCTTCGGCCGCACCTATTGTAGCTTGTTTATCTTGGTAGCCTCCAGAGTGATTTAGCTACAACATCATCTAAGAGCATGGTTTGACGAATAGAGTGCCACTGCTGCCAATCGTGAGCATCTGCTTCGGAAGCATCGTACCCATGCGACTGTGGGATGCCATCGACAAAAACGGTTTTGACTGTTGTGTCTAGGCTGAATTTTTCTAAACTCTGCCTCGCACCCTTGAGCCCGCCCCATGTAAGGTCTGGAACAATGCGGACCAGACAGAATCCGTTCTGGGGACGAGGTGTCGAAAGCAACACCACTTCCACCTCAAGGACAAAGTTAAGCACGACTCTAAGCAGTCTGGTTTTACCATAGTGCTTAGAATTTGGGTTTCGAGTGATCATCATCATGTTGGTTGGCTAAGTCAGAATACCGAGCAGTGCTTATGGTGTTCCATTGGATGAAGTCGTCCATCTACTTCCCTTTCAATTAAATCGATGCCAACTATGAGCTAGAGCATCCAATTGTTTCTGAGTGCTTTTCGTGGGAGCATGGGTAGTGGTTGGGATATTTGGCGATTTGCTACGCATCAGCGCAGCGTCGCCTCTCACGTTAGTCTTGAGCGTTGCAGTAGAAACTGCAGCTGCTGATTTGATAGCGCAATTAGATGCAACTACGTCCCGGCTGTCACTGACATTGGCTTTTTCTTGAGTTCCAGCGAAGTATGGGGGGAGGAAATGGGTTTAAGGGAAATTGTTGCAAGTAGACTAAAGGTGAAGGGTTCGGAAGGCTTATGCGGTTTATATTATTGGCGATGTTTGCAGGAGTCACTTGTTGATGCAACAACTAGTGTTTTGGATTCATTTTACAGTGGTGTTCGGTGAAGAGGCCTGTATCGTACATTCTGCTGCACTGAACAATGAACAATGATTTATGTCGGGTAAAAAAGCGTTGCCTGACAAGTCCCGCAGATTGGTGGGGGTAAAACTACAATTATCAAACGATAGGTGGGTTTCTGTTTGAGCGGTTATCTAGCACATACGCTGCTGAATAATAGTAGTGTAAGTGGAAAATGAATGTGAACGAGGTGGCGACATGGGGACAGTTAAAGTTGAGGTATTACATGTGAAAAGTAAAAACAAGAATACGCACTTCTGCCCCACATCCTCAGGTTTACTTCACATGCTAATCCGGTTTGGAGGGATAATTGATATATTCCAAAGTTGCACAGTTTAGGCAACAAAGTGATGGGGGCCAAGGGCAAGATCCAAAGCTTTTATCAAAATATCCAAGCTGGGGGAAGAAATAACGTATTTTGGGAGAGAGTTCCAGAGTTGGCAAACCTGAAGAGTGTTGGGCGGAGCCTGGGATACTAGTCGGTAAGCAATGACACGTAAGACGTGTCAAATACGGGACAGTATAGAAGTCGGAGGCGACTGAACCCAACGTGTATTGTGCAGGCTACAAGAATAGGAAGCGAATCAGACAGAGCGAGAAACGTGCAGCGAGGTACTCACCAAAACGGTTTGTGTCAACGGACGTGCAGTCAGTAAAACAAATGGACGTTTCGAAGGTTAAAACAACCATAAATCCAATGTTACCAAATACTGAAAGAGCTTGTTTTCCGGTACACTACAAGAGCCTCCCCCTAGAAGGCTGAAGAATGAAAGCCTTCGATGGAGCTGTTAGTGGGGGGAACGGAAGGTGAGGGTGGATGCAAATATTTGCACGGGCTTGAGTAAAGGCTTCCAAAGTGGGGGTGGTGGCAGATTTCGCTGGGTCCAGGCTTTTGTTAGTTTTATTTATGAAGATCGTGTGGATCAGAGTGCACCATCGGTGGGCCGTCGGGGCGGGCTGGTCGGACTGCAAAAAAAACTGGCTAGTCCAGAAAAAAGGCCGACAGGACCTTCCCTTTGCTGCAGACCCGACGGTGCGCTTGGGAGGTGGCACTCCCCCCACCGCACTTTAGTTCACGGTCCTCGTCCCATGAAGAAATCCAGGCGTCCCCGTCCCACGGAGAAATCCGGGCGTCCTCGTCCCACGAAGAAATCCAGCGTCCTCGTCGGCAATGCCTAGGCGGCGTTTAGGGACCAATTCGTTCGTGGGTGTCTACGGTCGAGGGCGACTGTCTGTTTCTTGGGTGAGGAAGGGGGCGGCTTTGGGACGGCTGGCGAGTCACTCCAGGGTTGCGTTGAGCCGGTTGGCGAGTCACTCGAGGGTTGCCTGGGCAGTTCCGGCGGTTGAGTTTCTGGAAGGTAGAACTCAGAGGGGGTTGGCAAGGGTCGGGGAAGTGGCTTGACGCCAGAGAGGGAACATGGCATACACGATAAAAGCAAATACGCTTTTTAGGTTTTTAATATGTTTTGGGTTTTTTGTCGATTTTGAAAAACGATTGTGGGTGAGACGCAGGATAACCACTAAAGACGAAAAAGGCGTGTTAATGGAAATAGTAAACTTTCACAAAATCTGAAAAACGGACCGGACGTTTGACCTGTCTACCGCGTCGGTCGGTTGCCTGGGGTTGAGGCGGGATAGGTGGAGGGTCAAGGGGTACAGAAGATTCCGGGCTATCCAGTGCTCGGGAAGTCACCACAAGTGCGGGTGCTTGTGCGAGAGCATCAGGATGGGTTGCAAGTGGCTCGTCAAAGAAAGCCACTTTGAGGCGGTTGATGGACACCGTTGTTCGGTGACCATTCTGGTCTAAAATGTAAAATGTTTCGGAGTCCGTTGCAGAACTCTGAATGGGCCAGTGTAGGGAGGCTGGAGAGGGCGCCGCACTGCGTCGGTGCGGAGGAAGACGTGAGTGCAGGTAGAGAGTCCGCTGTGCATTTACACATCTCTAGTCTGTTCACGGGGCGGGGTCGGGCGTAGTGAACGCATACTTTGGGCTAGGGAGGACGCAAAGTTAGGCGGAGGCATACCCGACGATGCGGGAGGTGAAACGAATTCTCCTGGTAACTTGAGCGTCGTGTCGTAAACCAGCTCTGCTGGTGCACACTGCAAGTCAGTTTTGTTGCTGCTGCGAATGCCTAAGAGTACGAGCGAAATGTTTTTGCTCTAGCTAGGGTCGGAGGAGGCGCAGAGAGAGGCTTTAAGCTGTCTATGGAAACGTTCAACTAAACCGTTGGCTGCTGGGTGATACGCTGTGGTATGAATACGGCGACAGCCTAAAAAGTTGCAGAACGTATCGAATTGGGAAGCTTCGAAAGGCGTTCCTCGGTCAGTTGTGATGGTGGATGGGCATCCGTAGTGCGAGACCCACCGACCTAAGAAGGCTAGGATAACAGTCTTAGCTGTGCAGTCTGTTACGGGGATGGCTTCTGGCCATCTGGTGAAGCGGTCAACACATGTAAGAATGTATACGAATCCGCGTGACGGAGGCAAGGGACCTACCAGGTCTAAGTGTACATGCGAGAACCGAGAGTCCGGGGCAGGAAATGAACCAAGAGGACTGCGGGTGTGACGATGTACTTTGGAGCGCTGGTATTGAAGGCAGGCGCGAGCGCAGGAACGAACATTTTTGTTTACACGTGGCCAAAAGAAATGTTCGGTGACCAGGTTCAAAGATGCACGGATACCGGGATGTGATAGTGAGTGAAGTGAGTCAAAGACTGTGCGTCTGAAGGAGACGGGCACGAGGGGTCTAGGACAACCTGTGGAAGTGTCACAGAGGATGGTTCCTTCTGTGGTTTGGAGAGGAACAAGTTGCAGATGCAGCGAAGTGAACTGCAGAGTGCGCTGTATATCTTCGTCTTGAGCCTGAGCCGATGCCATGGCGGCAAGGTCGACGGTAGGCAAAGACTGCAGAGTGAGGTTCACACGTGAGAGAGCGTCGGCAACGGGATTTTCGACACGTGAGACATGACGTATGTCAGCAGTGAACTGCGTGACAAAGTCTAGGTGTCTTGTTTCCCGTGGTGAGTATTTGTCGCAAGCTGAGTTGAAGGCAAAGATAAGCGGCTTGTGGTCAGTGTAGACCGTGAAAGCGCGGCCTTCGAGTGTGTGCCGGAAGTGACGTATTGCTAGGTAAATGGCGAGCAGTTCTCTGCCAAACGTGCTGTAGCGGGATTTCGCTGGCTGCAGGCGCTTGGAGAAGAACCCAAGGGGTTGCCATTGCCCACCAACGTGTTGTTGGAGGACGGCTCCTACCGCGACGTCTGAGGCATCAGTCGTAATAGAAAGAGGTGCAGTCGATTCGGAATGAGCGAGGAGGGCTATGTTGGAGATAGCATCCTTGAGCTCGACGAAGGCTGCCTGTGCTGTTTCAGGGAAAGCGAACTTACGTTCATTTCCTCTGAGTAACTCAGTCAGTGGATGCATGAGCTGAGCGCAGCGCGGAATGAAGCGTCGATAGTAGTTGACAAAACCACAAAATCGACGGAGGTGCTTGAACGAAGTCGGAGCTGGGAAGTCCTTGATTGCCTGGATCTTATCAGGAAGAACTTCGATACCAGACGATGAAACGAAGTGGCCTAGGAATTCTACCGTTGATTTGCCGAGTTCGCACTTAGTCGGGTTGACTGTGACACCGTGTTGGGTCAAGCGCTGGAAGAGAGTTCGAAGATGCTCGAGGTGTTCTTGTTCCGATGAACTGGCTACTAAAATATCATCGAGGTAGAAATAGGCGAAGTCTAGGTCACGTGTAACATCGTGGATGAAGAGTTGGAAGGTTTGTGCGGCGTTGCACAGTCCAAATGGCATTCTTAAAAATTCAAACAAACCGAAACGAGTGATAACGGCTGTTTTAGTAATGTCATTGTCTTCCACAGGTATCTGGTGATAGGCGCGAACCAGATCGATCTTGCTGAAGATCGTCTTACCTGTGAGGCATGCGGTAAGGTCCTGCATGTGTGGGATGGGATACCTATCTGGGACGGTTAGGCGATTGAGTGCGCGGTACTCACCGCAAGGGCGCCAGTCACCAGATTTCTTGGGGACCATCTGCAGGGGCGAAGATCAAGGGCTGTCGGAAGGGCGGATTATTCCAAGTTCAAGCATGTGCTCAAACTCCGCCCTAGCTACCTTTAGTTTCTCGGGCGATAGTCGGCGTGGACGGCATGACACAGGTGGGCCGTTCGTCCGTATGTGGTGCGTGACTTGAGCTGCCATGGGCAAAGCTGCGTTCATTGGCTGAACGAGCTTGGGATACTGAGAAAAAAGATTAGCGTAGTCTGGCGAGTTCTGGGGAAATGCGTAGACCGGGGATATAGATGTGACATCCGCGGTGATGCCACGTACGCTGAGTTTGGTTGCAGTGTCGACTATCAGCTGGCGCTTCGCATCGACCAAGAGGTCGAAATGCCTGAGAAAGTCAATGCCGATGATGGTAAAGGGGACTGTAGCGACAGTGAATACCCAGCGGAAAGTGCGCCGAAGACCTAGGTCCAGCGTAAGCGACCGAAGATCATAGGTGGCTACTGGGGTGCCATCGGCGGCACTGAGGCTTGTCGACAGAGAAGTGGTAGGCTCACCTAGCATAGGGGGAATGACGCTGACTTCCGCCCCGGTATCAACTAAGAACTGGGTATCGGAGTCATAATCCCCAATGTAGATGAGACGACTTTGGGCTTTGCCGACGTTCGTGGCCATTACAGTCCGGCGTGGCGGATCATCTATAGCGGAGTAGCTACACGGCTGTACGCACTACCCAGTACGTAACTGGCGTTGAATGTCGTGGAGTGTGGAAAACAATGTTGATATTTGAGAAGGACGACAACTTTAGTTGGCGCTGGAATTTTATGGTACATTCTAATCTCACAGCCCGGCTACAGCTCAACTCGCTAACTTCGTTACTACCAACCAAACGCCTCAATTGTCAGACTGGACATGATCCATCCCATTGTCTGAGGTAGCTGTTGAGTGTTCAGAGGATACATCAACAGATATTCCAACCCAATATTCGGTGATACAAACAACCTGTATCAATAAATAGTGAAGCTTGAGGTGCTGCTCTTCACGCTAAATTAAAGCAAACTTCGGTTCGTTTAGGAAGTACAGTTTAATCGGTTCGTAGTTTGCATGGGTTGACAGTTCACGACAGGGCTGAAGTAAAATTTCCCTAGAAACACTATCGCTTGAATCTTAAGACTCAAAAAGCCATAGCCTACGAAGAAGTTACGTACTGATCTGGTCCAGTCATTTCTCCAAGCTTTTATTTCTGTGGATTTTTATGCTATGAGCTCTTAAGATAACAGTCAATAAGCCTTCTTCACAGCCAATGCCCCACCTCTCATGAGTTTCGCTCCCTCCACTATCACGTTGTTTTTCACTGTGTGTGCGTGTGTGTGTTTCTAGCTATGCTACAGATATTGGCTTAATACACAGACCATACCTCCCCGCAATCTAAACGCATCCCACTTATACCCAGGGTGTGACTCACTCACACTACCTCCTTTCCCTCGATTAATGGCTTAGTAACTACGGTCGCTATTCCATGAAGAATAAAGGATGTAGTTACACATATTGGCTCCGTGGCCTTCTCTAAGGTCCAGTCCCAACTGTCCGCTGCTTGCAACCTGGTGAAACAGCCACAGTTCAGATGTCACAATCGCGTCTCTTTAGTGTAATTGCGACGCAGATCGTGGCTGTGGCCCTGGGCTTGTCACTAAACCAAATCACCGGCATTTAGATGAAACCAGTTCGTGTAAGCACAGCGCTCATACACAACCCCAACATCTGCACAAATTCAACGCGAGATTAGGTTCTACTTTGTCGGCGCTCCCTTACACCCCAGTTTTCAAGCTGTCGTCGGGCCCAAGGTCAGTCGGTGTCATGCCTTCTCACAAATCGGTTTTGGTAGGGTTTTATTATGACCACAATAAAACCCTACCAAAACCGATTTGTATTCAAAACCTTCTGAAATCATGAAATCCCAGTCGGTTCCAAACATATTCCAAGATAATAAACATTTGTCTTGAATCATTGTGATATATTTCTTGACGGAAGATTAAATAAAATGATATGATGGTTCCCTGTGCCCATCGGCTTTGTTAAATTCACTTCGCATACTATGGGCAGTATCCAAAGGCTGGCTTGCCGAACAACCTTTTCGTATTGCCAGTTGGGTGGTTCGAGATTATCCTGTTCCAGCGAAAAAGTTCGGTGGCAGTGTTCCAGGACGTGGTGGGTTTTCGCCTGGTAAGTGTTCCCCCTATAAAAGTCACACATGTATCTTTAACAACACTGCAACGTGGCAGATGTGACTCGCCACTAAATAAAGTCATTGCCCCTTGCTTCATCTCGCTGGAGCATTGTAATTATAAAGCTTGACGTTGAATTACTGGGAGTATTGGACCCCTGTTCGGCAGCCAGCCAAATAAAAGGCATATGAACCGAGCAATCGGTCACCGGCTCCAAAGGGTCGCGATTCCCTGAATTCGCCTCGCTACCTAGCGGGTCAGTTCCCTATGACCAAAGGCTCCGGGTGCGGTCTGCCAAGTCAACCCCGTTCCTCGGCCTGGGCAACCGGGAAGCCCACAACACATGAAATGATGGATTCACGACTCCCTGTTCACGTTTCTCGCTCTCCGAACTCTCCCTCATTCTCTCTTTGGCCGAGGTGCTGACGCCCGGGCATGCTAAACTTCACTCTGCCGCGCCGCAAACGACGTTCTTCCTTCCACGTTTATTCAACCCTCCTATTCTTGGCAACCCCCTCCAATGTTGAATCTCTCAACGTGTACTGTAAATAAAATCGGTACCTTTGGCCTCCTCAACGAACCGCTCCAAACCGAACGCACACATTCCAATAGCGACAGCAAGGCTTTTATTGTACCCCGCTCGGTCTTCAAGCTAGCTACGTTCAATGTTCGTACGCTCATGCAGGTTAGTTCAAAAGCTGCTCTTGTGCGCACCTTGGAAACCCAATCAATCGACGTTTGCTGCCTAACCGAAACCCGTCTACAAGACTCCAGCACAACACTGCGATTCTCTCCCCACCCCCAAGTTCCAAGTGCACACTCACCTTGCGCTTATCTGGAGATGCGACAGCGGTAGCCTCTGGTTACGCCGGCGTAGGAGTTGCGTTAAGCGCGCGTGCTGAGGCAGCGCTCATTGAGTGCTTCCCGGTCAACAGCCGTATTTGTACAGTCCGCTTGGGAAGCTGAGTACGATCTTCCAGCCACGGAATCAGTAGCCGCTGCTTATTCAATGTGGTGACTTACGCTCCTACGGACTGCAGCTCGGATGAAGCTAAAGAAGATTTCTACAGCCAACTCACTGACCTCATCCGAGAGAATCGCCGCACGGACAACGTGGCACGCGCCGGAGACCTAAATACGCAGGTCCGTAGACTAGAGGTTCATGAATGCGAACTCGGGGGTCAACAGAGCCACGGTAGTCGCAGGACGGACAACGGCGATCGACTCCTTCAACTGTGCGCCGACTACGGTTTGCTCTTTTCTAGCACCAATTTATGACGTTCCTGGCGCTAACGAGCCATCTGGCGACCTCTGGCGCCTGGTCAAGCTTGGACGCAAATTGATAACATCGCTGTTAGTTACCGTTGGTAAGGCTGCATGACTTAGGATTATGCGCTCGTGTGTGTAAGTTTGTTCTGTGCTTTGGAGGCACCCAACAACATCGCTGGAAACGGCTTGAACAGATAAACCCACCGCTCCAAATGTTCTCGGCGCATTTCAGAACACATTAGATTCCAACCTGCGTTCTCCATCCTCCGATCTTGCGACATACTGGGCACATATACAGAGCGCCTTACGGAAGTCCGCTACCCTGGTCTGTGGCTTTACCAGAAGAGCTGCTGGACATTGGATCTC